CCCTACAAGTCCCCCCAGTCCTACTCCAGCCAGTCACTCAGACAAACAAGTTTGGTTATAATTTGCAGGAGATAATGCTGCCAGCTTCTTGTTCACATTGTCACCTGAAAAAGAGAACAGGTGGTCGCGTGGTACTATTGTAGCTGGCATCACAACATATTTACATGCCAGATGAACTAAAGATCCATATCTTCCTTCATGCTTCAACCACCATTCCAGAGGACGTGTCCATGCTGATGATGGGTTCTGCTTGATAAAGATCCAAAGCAGAGTGGACTGATGCATGTTCATTTTCATCATCTGAGGCAGATACCACCAGCAGAAGGTTGATTTTCTTTTTTTTGGTGGTTCGGGATCTATAGTTTCCACATCGGAGTGTTGCTCTTTTAAGACTTCTGAAAGCATGCGCTACACCTCGTCCCACTCAGGTTTTGGACGGCACTTCAGATTCTTAAAACCTTGGGTTGAGTGCTGTAGCTATTTTTAGAAATCTCACATGGTATCTTCTTTGTATTTTGTCAAATCTGCTGTGAAAGTGTTCTTAAAACAAACGTGTTGGGTCATGATCCGAGACTGCTATAACATGAAATATATGGCAGAAAGCAGGTAAAACAGAACAGGAGATATACAATTCTCCTCCAACAAGTTCAGTCACAAATTTAATTAACATATAATTTTTTTAATGAGCATCATCAACATTGAAGCATGTCCTCTGGAATGGTGGCCGAAGCATGAAGAGGCATATGAATGTTTAACATATCTAGCACGTAAATACCTTGCAATGCCGGCTACGAAAGTGCCATTTGAACACCTGTTCTCACTTTCAGGTGACATTGTAAATAAGAAGTAGGCAGCGTTAGCTCACATAAATGTAAACAAACTTCTTTTTGTTCAGCTAATTGCGAAGACAAAGTAGGACTGAGTGAACTTGTAGGCTCTAAAGCTTTACGTTGTTTTGTTTTTGAGTGCAGTTATGTAACAAACAAAACCATTTGTAAGCTGCATTTTCATGATAGAGATTGCACTATAGTACTTGTATGAGGTGAATTGAAAAATATTATTTCTTTTATCATTTTTACAGTGCAAATATTTGTAATAAAAAATAATAATATAAAGTGAGCACTGTACACTTTGTATTCTGTGTTGTAATTGAAATCAATATATTTGAAAATGTAGAAAAACATCCAAAATATTTAATAAATTTCAATTGGTATTCTGTTGTTTAACAGTGCAATTAATCGTGATTAATTTTTTAATCGCAATTAATTTTTTGTAGTTAATTGCGTGAGTTAATTGCGATTAATCAACTGCCCTAATGATTGTACACAGGCAACCAAAAAGGAAGAGAAAAATAGACTAAGAGGCCAAACTAATGTTGTTTTTCTTGTGCTTGCTCATGTCCATTCCACGTAAAGTTTGCGCACACCACATGCACAGTTGCCATAAATTCTTTTCCTCAATTGTATCCATCGGGCCAGCTCTAGCACCCTCTGGTGCCGTGTGCTCATGTGCTGATACAAGGGGCCTGGTCGGCCCCGCATCCTCTCAGTTCCTTCTTACCGCCTGTGATGGTCACTGGAACAAATGATTTTGCCGCAACACGGCAGTCAATCAGCAGTTCTGTTATTCCCTCCTTTTTTTTTTTCACGTTTAGTTACCTTCATTTATTTATTTTACTATTAGTGTATATGGTTAGATCCCCCCCGGCCCATATTTAGCGTAGAGGGGCATCCTCTGCCCATAGGGCCAGGCATGCCCCAGTCTCCAGGCTTCAAATCCTCCGCCTCCTACAGCAAGCCCAGGCTTGTGAGCAACCCACACTCCAGCTGTCTGAAGTGTCTGGGGAAGGCTCACATGTGAGAGCATTGCCAGATCTGCCGCCAGTTCAAGCCTCATATGAAAAAGGACAAGGAGGCTAGGCTAAGGTCCATCCTGATGGAACCTGCACTCAGACCGGCATTGGAGCCAAGCCGGTCAGACTCTGCACCCAGTATCTCAGCATTGGTTCGGCATACTCCTCCGGCGGCATGGGTCTCTCGGCATCATTTCCCTTCACTGGTGCCAAGGAAGAAACACAAGAAACTGGGTCCAAGAGGGGATGCTCCTCAGAACTGAGGAAGGATAAGCCCGGGGAGTGCAGCAGAGTGAGACCTCTGTTGGACCATTCCTTTACCCCCGCTCTGCAAACGGCACTGTTGACTCCGCTCTCCTGTTGAGTCCGGTGCAGGTTCATCCATCAAGACTGGGAGGTCATTGTGGTGCCAGAGGGATAGCAGTGCCATCCACCCCGGAGGTGTTTGCAAAAGCCAGGAGACCAGATGGCTCTCCTGGTACCACCCACCCTTGCGGGGTAAGTTCCAGCACTGCCAAGGTCGTCAAGCAGTAGGGAGCATGTTGTCCCAAGGTCCTATCCAGCACCGGGTCCGCTGGTACTGACCAGAGGAAAACCGACCCTTCTGATGTCGACAAAGTCTTCTCTGCCCTGGCACCATTCCCCAGACCCTGGGCATTGGCTGACAGAGGTGAGAGGTACCATCCGTGCAAGCTGACTCATTCTTAGAGTTGGAGGTGGAGTCGTGTGCCCAACCAAGGGGCCAATACCAGTACACGAATTATGTTCTATCTGATCTTGATGTGAGGCCCCCTCCAGGTGCCTGGCCTGATGGACAGTGGCCTATGCAGGTCCAGTGGCATTTTTGGAATTTGTAGGGTTCCCCCTCAGTACACGGACTGCTTTCCAGCTGTTCGTACTTGGTGGCATCCAAGAGAAGGGCCCCTCTGCCACAGCACCTGACATGGACTCTGGTACCAAGCCTGGTACCATACTTAGGACTTGGGGCTGCATGACGTGGTCGGTGCAGAAGAAGAGGAGGAAGGCTCCTGCCAGTACAAGGCCAAGGTGAGAGCCAGCATCAGTCTAGTCCAAGCTACCTTCCGATCCCTGGGCCCATTGATAAACGAGCAAAAGTCAACTCTTGTCCGCATCCAGAGGATAGAGTTTATCGATGCGGTACTTGATTCCATCCAGCCCAGATCCTTCCTCCCAGGTGCCTGCTTCCAGACAATGTCAGCTCTGATATCAAAGATCAAGGCCCACCCGTAAAGACTGCCCGTTTCTGCCTTAAACTTTTAGGCCACATGGCAATGTACACGTACGTGGTACAGCACATAAGACTGCATCTCAGACCCCTTCAAGCTCACTGAGCTATCGCCACTTGGACTGAGTGCTTACAGTTCCGATCCCCAGTCCTCGCCTTCCTCAACTGCTAGAGGGATCTCCAGTTGGTGAGGGCAGGCATTCCCTTTGTCACTCCCCAGACGTCACTATCCCTAATCTCGGTCGCATCTCATCTAGGTGGGGGGCTCACTTCAAGCACCTCAGGACTCAAGGACTGTGGTCCCAGGAGGAGCTCTCCTTGCATCTAAAGCTCAAAGAGCTCAGAATGGTCCGCCTAGCATGCCAGGTGTTTCTACCACAGATTGCAGGCATGTGCTCATGGACAACACAACAGCCATGTTTTACATTACCAGGCAGGGAGGAGCATGCTCATCCACGCTGTGCCAAGAGGCCTTTCACCTGTGGGACTTCTGTGGGAAGCACTCCATCCACCTCAAAGCTTCTTGGCTTCCGGGAGCCCAGAACGCTCTGACAGGTCTGTCTTTCTCTTCACACCATAAGTGTTCCCTTCTCCTCAACATAGCAAGATCCATCTTTCAGAGGTGGGGGTTCCCCCCTATAGATCTGTTCACAATGTCAGCAGTTTTGCTCACTATGTAGTTGCAGCCTGGGCTCGCTCACAGATGCCTTCCTTCTCCCATGGACAAAGCACCTATTCTACGCGGTTCCCCCATTCCTCTTGTACACAAGGTCCTACTGAAAGTAAGGTGAGCCAAAGCAAGGGTTTTTCTTACAGCCCCTGCATGGCCATGTCAAAACTTGTTTGGCATGCTAGTGGATATGTCAGTAGCAGCCCCGTTACCGCTCCCACCATTCAGAAACCTGATCTCACAATGTCACGGCCGTCTGCTCCACCCGAATCTCAAGACCCTCCACCTGACAGCGTGGAAGCTCCGTGGTTGAATTTGGCAGAGCTAGCTTGTTCAGAACAAGTTCGCTAGGTCTTGCTAGGCAGTAGGAAACCATCTACTAGAGTGACTTACCTCACCAAGTGGAAGCGTTTTTTGGAGTGGTCATCCTAATGAGGCCTCTCACCAACTCGATCACCCCTCCATTTCGTGCTGGAGTACCTGCTCCATCTGAAACAATAGGGCCTAGGCATTTCATCGATCAAGGTGCATCTAGCAGCAATCTCAGCCTTCCACCTTCTGATGGACAGAAAGTCAGTCTTCTCCCTCAAGGGTTTTGAGAGACTTTACCCTCAAACTCATGAACTCATTCCCTTGTGGGACCTAAACGTGGTCCTCTCAAGACTCATGAGCCCTCCCATTGAGTCGCTGGCATCGTGCCCTCTGTTATATCTCTCCTGGAAGGTCACCTTCCTGGTAGTGATTATCTCGGCCAGGAGGGTCTCAGAAATCGGGGTCCTTGTGTCAGAATGCCTGTGTACGGTGTTCTTTAAGGTTCAACTGTGCCCCCTCACAGCATTGCTCCCAAAGGTGGTCTTGCAGTTTCATAGTAATCAGGTTTTTTTCCTGCCAGTTTTCCAAAAATTGCACAAGAATTCAGAGGAGCAGCATCTCCACACACTGGATGTTAGGTGCGCCATGGCCTTCTACATTCAGAGGACCAAGCCATTCCATAAATCCATGCAGATCTTTGTGGCAGTAGCAGACAGTATGAAAGGCCTACCAGTTTCTGCTCAGAGAATTTCATCCTGGATCATTTTCTGCATTTGTATGTGCTATGAGCAGGTGGGCATCCCACCTCCTGCCATCTTGAAATCTCATTTGATGAGAGCTCAGGCTTCAGCAGCAGCGTTGCTAGCCAGGTCCCAGTCCAAGACATCTGCAGAGCAGCGACCTGGTCATCTCCATACCTTCTCCTCCCACTATGCTATCACCCAGCAGATTAGACATGATGCCAAGTTTGGAAGAGCAGTGTTGTGATCCACATGTCCGTGAATTCTGACCCCACCTCCTTGGGTTCTGCTTGGGATTCACTTAACATGGAATGAACATAAGCAAGCACTTGAAGAAAAGAAAAAACAGTTACTAACCTTTCCATAACTGTTTTTCGTCAATATGTGTTGCTCATGTCCATTCCACAACCCACCCTCTTGCCCCTCTGTTGGGGTTAGCTGGCAAGAAGGAACTGAGAGGATGCAGGGCTGGCCAGGCCCCTTATACCGGCACATGAACACGCCGCCCCAGAGGGTGCTAGAACCGGCCTGACATACTGCTGAGGGAAATATCTCCAGCAACAGCGCATGCGGCGCATGCACACCTAACTTAGAATGGATATGAACAACACATCTCAAAGAACAAGAGTTACAGAAAGGTTAGTAACTGTTTTTACCCTATTCCTGTAGCTCTTGATTTTTGGTTAAATATTTCTAGCAGAAATATAGCTGCCATCTATATGATGTATAATAATAATAATAACAGTGGGTCTCAAAGCGCTTTACAAAGGAGGTCAGTAACATTATCCCCATTTTACAGATGGGAAAAGTGACTTACCCCAGGTCACCTAGCAGGTCAGTGACAGAGTTGGGAATAGAACCCAAGTCTCCTGAGTCTCACAGTCCAATGCTCTAGCCATTAGCTTGTAACTGCAAACATTTGATCTGGCTGCAGTCTCAGAAGATTCTTATTAGGGGAGAAACTTGGATGGCTGTATAGAAGCTGCTGTGTACTCCTTTGGAAGTCAGTAGTGTTTTTTCCTTCAATGGAGCTGCTAGTTAAAACAAGCTGTAATCTGACTGTAATTTTGTAAGTTTGGTTAGTAAGGTGGAAAAATAGATGCAATATGCCATTAAGCGTCCCTTATCTTGTCTGTCAAACCAAAAGCTCTGTATTTTGAACTCTCTTCAGGGTGAAGCCAGCTCAAGGCAACTTGGGTGATAACTGTCTAACCCAACTATATTTTAGCCCTGAAAGTTTGTGTGGTGATAACTGAGCCTGCCTGATAAGGTTAAGCTAATAGTGAAAGATATTGTCACTGAAGACTTGTGGGTAATTTTTCAAAATGGTATAAGGTAGTACTGTCTGAGTTATGCTACAGTCATTACAAGACACACAATATAGGGAGCAGAATTAAAATCTAGTGTGTGAATACAGCACACATTCACCTCACTTTTGTGTCTTTCCTCTTTCCCCCAACAATTTTATTAGTTCTGAAATGAAAGACTTAACTTCTTCTATTGACAGCAAAAGAGGAAATATCAGAAAACAGAAGTACTAAACGATATTCTCAGGATTCTCCACCCTACACTGCCCCTCTCTCCCCTAAACTCCCCAGACCTGACGCTCACCCATCTGAAGGTAACTTAAGTGTATTTGTTGCATTTTGTGGGAGGGTTATTTGTGTTCATAGTATTTCAAAGAAAAGAGAATCAAGTACAACTAATTTTGCCTAGCCTTAGCCATCAGCAGTTGACAGAATGCATAGTCACATTATGTGTGTGTGTGTGTGTGTGTGTGTGTGTAAAATTATTGGTGAATGGGCACAAATATTGCACTTTGGGAGAACTAATGTAGCTTTGGGAGCTTTGGCCTCTAATGCCACTAGCTCTTTTTTGGGAAAGGGTTTAAAGATTCACTGCAGACCGTTGATGAATGAAGCTGTCTGCTTAATGTGCAACAGCTTACTAAAAAGACAGTAGGATGCTACATCCCATTAAAATGGGATAGAAAATAAACTACTATAACAACTATGTAAAATACACATACTCTCTGCACTGCTAGAGTATTGCACTATTTGTTGGTAGCTTAACTTGAGTTCAGAAAAGGACAGCGAGGATGGCAGGAGATTTGCAAGGGTGCAAGGGTTGATTATGAGAGTCAATTAGAGACTTGTGACCTGACCTTTGAGAGGTTCTGAGCTCCTGCAGCTCCCACTAGCTTCAGTGACATTTCTGCTCCTCTGCAGATGGAGCCATTTTACTATATTTAGAGAGCAAGAGGAGATGAGGATAAATGCTAGGCTTATTTAAGACAGATCAGTCATTCTTTTTCTAGTCTAATAACAGCAGAAGCAGGGGACATAGAAATTGGTAGCAAATTTAGAATCGATATAAAAAGGAGATACTATTTTATACATACAATAAATCTGTGGAATTGAGTCAGACATTTCTAATGGACTTAGAGGAGTCTGGGTATGTCCATGAATAAATATAGCACACATAGCTGTACTAAAATAGGGTTGCTCAAACTGGAGCAAACCAAAATGTATGATTCAAATGTAGGCCAGTTAGCTGCAGTATCCAGTAAGGAATCCTGTGCACTCAAAATAAGCTTGATCACTTTCCTATCCCTATTCAATATACAGGTCTAATAACTATATAGTACAAGGAAGTTTTAGGAACCAGTAGTTCATTTATTATAAAGTATGGTTGCCTGGATTTCCAAGAAAAAATCTGTAGGGAAAATAAATGTGTTGCCATATTTAAGGATCAGAATTTGTGTTGTCTTCAAACATTTTGATAAGTGTTCAATAAGGTTTTTATGAGGCAAAATATTCTCCAGCATTGTATGTCTCCCACTCAGCCTTGTAAGGCAGTGTCCTCTACTGAAAATTGGGAGGTAATTTCAGATCTCTCACTCACAGGCTGGTTAGCAAGAAAGACCAAGAATATCTGTTGGAAAGGATCTTCTTTTAGCAACGCTTTTTCTTTGTAATCTGCTCAGGGATATTTCTGCAGGTTTTTGCTCTCTGTTCTGTTAGATGACAGTTTCCTCTTTGCAGTCATGGAGGATAATGGAAAAAAGCTGCAACCTAAGTGGCTAACTACTGTAGCCAACTACATGACTCTAAATCCTGTATTAAGAAGAACCTTTGACTTCTGCTCCAAATTCCCAGAGGATCTAAAAGATTTTTCAAATTCTTGTGAAGATCTTCAGGCTAAGACATAGATCTCTGATATGCTGAACCATAAGGCCACTTTCCTCGTTTGTCAATAGCCTGCTCCAAACACCAAGGATTTGGAAATAGAACTTCCAACAAGATTTAAGAAAACCTCATGTCTGTGCCTTCTCTCCGTAGCTTATTTCAGATTTCAAAATATCAGAATAGCCAAGAAGACTGTAACTATCAAATACCAAAACTCACTCAGATCTCAGACCAAATGACTGCTGGTTAGACAAGGTCTCCTTCAAGTCGGGCCATTACAGCATCCCAGATTCACTGAAAAGTGACAGCCCTGCTGGTTGAACAGGGGGATCTTGATTTAAAGAGGATTATTCTGAGCTGGTTATATCAACCTGGAATTGAGTGATCAGGAGTTGGTTCAGTTTAAATTAAATGGAGGGATAATCAAAGCCAGGTCATCAACTACGGTTTATTTCAAAAAGGCAGATTTTGGGAAATAAGGAAATTTAGTTAATGATATCAACTGGACTGATGAGTTCAAGGATCTAAAAGTAGTGGAGGCCTGGAATTTCTTTAAACAAATATACAAAAACTGTCCGCAATTTGCATCCCAATCAAGGGGAAAAATCTTGTACGGAAAGCCTCCAGACCAACTGGATGAGAAACCACCCCAAAAAGGTTATTAGGAATAAGCAGAGAGCCTAAAGGGAATGGAAAAGGGGATCGATTAGCATAGACAGCTATATCTTGGAGAATAAAAATGTAGGAATAAAGTGAGAATTGCTAGGTCTAGCTTAATTAGCCCTTGCTCAGAAAATTAAAATAAATAACCAGAGGTTTTTTAGTTATATAAATTAAAAGTGGATAGGGATGGATGAGGTTGGGCTCCTATGGAGTGTTCAATGGGAGAAGATTACAGATAATCTAGATATGGCCCAAAAACAAAATGAAACTTTGCCTTGGTTTTCAGTCAGGATGATAATAAGGATCATGAAGGCAGTATGGCTGATAGAAATAAGTGTATGGAAACGACCACGTCTGAGGTGGAAGAAAAACTTGAACAGCTTAATGTACTCAAATCAGGAGGGACTGGATAACGTCCATCCCAGAATACTGAAAGACACATGATATTGCTAGCCCAGTAGCAAGGATTTTTAATAAATCTATCTATTTAGGGGTAGTACCATATGACTGGAAAATAGCTAATGTTTAAAAGGGGGTGGGGGGAAGTGAAGGGATCTGGGCAATTTTAGACCTGTTAGTCTGACCTCAGTTGTATGCAACGCTTTAGAAAAAATTGTGAAGGAAAGAATAATTAAATTAATAGAGGTAAAGGGGAAGTAATGTGACACAGTTTACCAAAAGTAGGTCATGCCAGACTAATCTGATTTTCTCCTTTGAGAAGATAACTGATTCTTTTAGATAAGGGAAATTCAGTGTACTCGTAGTCCTCCAAATTCCCTTTATCTGAAAATTCTAATGATCTGAATCCATCGTGTGTCTCACAGGCAGCCCTACAGAGCACAAGGAGTACATCCACAATAACAGAATATGGCAGTGATAGCCTTCTGCTTAAAGAAATTCCCTTCTGCGAACAGCATCCACCTACTAGGGAAGTGCAAGGGTGGAGAAAGCTAATTTAGAGCAGTGTTTCTGATTCACGTGGTTGCATGGCTGCAATATTGTGTCCAGTTCAAAGTGCAGTCCATGTAACCCTCCCTATCCACAGGGGTATCACTAGTCTGCACTCCTCCCATCACACAGCCCCACAGTGTTGGACACAGCCCTTCCCGGTGACCAGCAGGGCGGGGATCTTGCCAACATCACAATCACCACTCGGGCCATGTCCAGCCACTGCCCAGAGAAGGCAGCCTGGGCCCTGGGACAGCCATAGGGCAGGTGGGTGTGGGGAGAAGATCTGACACGGTGTCGCCTTTCCTTGGCTCATAACCTGGAAGGGTAACAACAGCAGCCAGTCGGGCAAAACAGTGTCCCTGCGTGACTCTTCAGCCCCCCGCTTCCCACCTGTACGCAGACCTTTACTGCCTTCCAGCCTGCAGAGGAATCCAGCTCAAAATAACACTTTTGTTTATCTGAATGTATGTTTATACAAATGTTTCAGATGTCCCCACAGGCTATTACCAGTTTGTCTTATATCCCTATAATCTCATGCTTCAGTGTTTCAGATGGTCACCTGCAGGGGTCAGGAAGAGATTTTTTTGCCCCAGTGTACTCTGGATTGTTTTGTCTCCTTCCTCGGAAGCATCAGAGATGGCCATAGCTGGAGATGGGACTCGGGATGGGGTGGGCTGGTGCGCTAGGATGGTACAGAGCATTCTTTCTCTTTCTCTCAGGTGCTGGGCTCGCTAATTCTTGCTTGCATACTCAGAGTCTAACGGATTGCCATATGTGGGTCAGGAATGAATTTTCCCCAGGTCAGATTGGCATTGATCTTGTGGGGAGGGGAGGGGAAGGGAGGAGGTGGGGGGCTTGCCTTCCTGTGCAGCGTGCCAGGATCATCTGGTTATAGCTCTCTTAATCCATTCCTTGCCATTGCGGGGGCGTTGGTGCACCTCCTACCTCTCCCTCTGGCACATAATAGTTTAGTCTCCTGTATGCTGCAATACTTTGGACTAATTTTGGTTGCTGGGTTTAGTGTGTGGGTGCTGGGTGGCGTTGGTGGCCTGTGATACACAGGATGTCAGACTAGATGATCTGGTAGCACTTCAGGCCTTAAATTCTGACTTCTATGAATTTCCTACCTTGCATATGTGAATCCAAGGCCTATTTCAGGAGAGGTTCAAATCCCTAATATCTTGAAAAGAAAAAAATCTCATCTGTCACAGAATTTCATGAAGATGTCTTAAAGACGTCTTCATCTCAGACACCACCATTATCTCCAAGGTCTCTGACTTCAGAGATAAGGCTGCATAATCTGGATAAGTAAAATATGAGTCTCATGTAACATTATCCACTGTGACAGTCTTTCTGCTTTCTTAGTGTCTTGAGTAAAAAAATACATTTTATTTTTTTCCTAACAGGGTCCTCTGCTTCCTTGCAATAAAATGGACCCTTTCTAAGGCATTAGAAGTTGTATGCTGGTTAAGCCAAAGGGTTCCAAACATTAATCCCTATTGCAGTATATCCCCTCCAGTTAATTTATTCTACAAACCAAATATCCTGAGATTTATATCTACAGTTGATTCTCAAACTCTTCTATTCCGCATTTATATATTCATTTATGATCTCCCCCCCCCTTTTTTACTTCCCAGACTGAAACTTCCAGCAATGATGTCTCATTTTCTAGCTTCTCCTGTTTTTTTCAAGTCCTCTGATTTTTTTTATTGCTAATCATTGACTACACATCTTGAAGACTCTCTGAACTTTTGTGTAGAGTGTGGTTACTATTGGTTTTCAGTTCAGTGATGTTTTAAATTGGAAAACTTAAAGGGGTAGGGATATATTATATGCGGGCCTGAGTAGCCAAGAGGAGGATGTTTTCACCTTTTGATATAGGTGCATGTCTAGCAGACTTTTTAATCTCTTGCACAGTGATAGTTTTCCTTTTAGTCCAGTTCTGGAAAGTCTAAGCTTTTAAGGCCTGAACCAGTCTTACTCAATATTTGTGACAGAAAATTGGTGTTCTAAGCAGAGGTAACCAAATACACAGCCCTTGAAACCCTTCTTTCTTCATTTAGCAATTGGGTTATGTCAGCAAGAAGGATTTATTAATTAATTGCTTAAACCATAGAGAGAATTTCTTATTTCTTATTTTCCTTCAGGATTATAAATAATCACTGCTAAAATAAACCCAGTGCTTCCAGATCTCAAGAATACTTCTAAACCAAGTTTCGACAAAGAGTGCATCTGCATATGGTAGACCTCTAAAGCCACATGTGAAAACATCACAAGTTTTCAGGAAAATGGTTCTTTTACCATCATTTTAATTCCAGATCTTGGTGTGATGCAGGAAACAAATGAAAGCTACAATTGCTAGAAGAGTAAAGAGCATGCGTTTTAGAAGCGTATTTCACAGCAGTTATCAGTCTTTATCCAAAAGAGTAAAGACTGCATCATGGGTATATATGATGTACACATGTACTGAAAAGATTTGTAGGGTGGCAGGATGGGTTTAGCATTTTCATTTTCATGAGCAAGTGTAATATATATTTTCTTGCTCCTAGAGATGCTGCTTTTGGCAGGTGGATACTCTATGCTGGGATCTCAACTTAGTTTTCTTTGAAGTGGAAAGTTTTTCTTAATTTTATTCATCATTACTCCCCTTCTTTTTTCTTTCTCAGTGCTAGATGTTTGTCTAACGTGAGCAGAGAGAGATTATTGCTAAAAAATGGAACCATTTCTTGCCAACTAATTTCTTTTCTTTCTAATAGCATATTGACCGATCCGGGCCATACTTTAATCAGAATATATTATTAGTCTTCAACAGTCATGATTTAAAAAAACCTGAAACGGACCAAACGCTCAGGCCCTATGGGCAGGTGGAAGGACTTTGTTATATTGCTGTATAGCAACAATCTTTAGCTAACTCAAAAGCAGTATGGCTACACTCTGCACTCAGTCCTGTGAAGCATCCAAGTGGAGTTTGAGAATATGTTTTAAAGACTAGAGATTAGCTGATAAACACTTCCCTTTTCAAGTTTTATCAAAGAGTTGTTACCTCTTTCTTAAGCCAGAATGTATTTAATTGATTTGTTTCATTTATATTTTCATATCCAGAGAAGAGCTGCCTGCGTGTAAGTGGAGTACAGTGGTCAGTATTTCTTAATAATCAGCACAGCAGTATCTGAAATACCAGGCTTTTCCTCAATACAGGAAATAATTGTGGCAACTGTTTGCAATCTGTTGACTTCATAAAGAGGGCCACTGTATCTGAAGATAGTATGATCTATAGACACACAATTGCACACTTGTTTCTAATTAGAAGTTGATGGTTCTCTGTATTGTTTAGACTAGGCAAATTAATTATTACACAGTAGGTTTATCTTTTATTCATATTAAAAATCTCTTACAGGATAAACATAACACAGGCTTAATGGCTGCGCGTTAGAAAAAATGTTTAAACCGTGCATATGCTTCCTTGGTGATGATGTCTATGCCTATAACTGCAAATATAGTGATATTACCTTCAGATAATTCTTAGAGAATCAACTCTCCCCCTTTGTTGAGAATATAGTTTTGTTTTGTATAGAATGAAATGATAGTGAAATGAAGTATTGAAAATTCATACGTTTTATATGATCCAAAGTAACCTTCAAGCGCTCATCAAACTCTACAATAATCAGGTTTTTTACAGATGTAACTTTAAATGTATTTTAGGAACTTCCTACTGACTACTTTTACTTAATAAGAGAAGGAGAATGGTGCTACTTGTATTTGGTGCTTGCTTTATGGGGAGCTTGTTGACAGGCTTAAAAATTGTAGTTAGTGTTAAAAATAAGTAGCATGGAATTAAATAACAAGGTTACAAAAATCTAACATGTTGAACAGATCAGTATTTGTGTTACTTATATTATGTAGCAGAAACATTGCCAACTGAAGAAAATGGCACTCCCAAAGAACACCGATTTTCTGAGGACTCTATGGATTCTGCACTCAATTCAGTAAATCCTTCAAGCCCAACCCGCCGAAATTCCACTGAATATCGTATCTCAGGGAGTGCAGCATATTACAGGAATTCCCTTCAACCGGTGACTGCTGCTTCAAACTCAGCCCCAATCCTACACAGGCTGTCATCAAGCTCTGCTGGGAACAGCAGTTACTATGAAGTCAATAGGAATCGAATGCAGAGGAGGATTGAAGGTATGGCATACACTTAACCTTTTAAAATATGTGCTTTGCTAACCTACTTTTTAGCAGTCTGCAAAGTCAGTGGGTTATGAATTATGAAGCAAAGTATTTTGACATCCAAGACTTCACATAAGGAGTCAGACTTTGCCAAACATGTCAGACCATCTAACATGATTTCAGAATACAGAGTTTAAGCTTGTTAACTGTAATACTGTACAAGGCAGAGAAATCCTGCATATGATTTTTTACTCTGCTAGCTATCAAAGACCCTGCAGCCTGCCTGGCAGGGCAGTGCTGGTTACAGCTCCTTCTTCAGCTTCTCAAGTACTGCAGCCAAGTTGGCCAAAGGGTCACTGAAATTTGCAAGTATCAGAGGGGTAGCCGTGTTAGTCTGAATCTGTAAAAAGCAACAGAGGGTCCTGTGGCACCTTTGAGACTAACAGAAGTATTGGGAGCATAAGCTTTCGTGGGTAAGTACCTCGCTCCCTTCACGACTTCTTATGCTCCCCATACTTCCGTTAG